CATGTTATCAAAAGGGACCATTCCCTAGAGAAGGATGTCAGGCTTGGTAAGGTGGAGGGTCAATGAAAAAGGGGAAGGCCCTCAATGATGGATTGACACAGTGGCTGCAGCGATGGGCTCAAGGATCATGGAGCTGGTGAGGGACTAGGCAGTATCTCATTCTGCTGTGCATAGGGTCGCCATATGTTGGACATGACTCGACGGCACCTAAGAGCAACAACCTCAGCCCTTGACATGTTGGCAAATAGCTCTTTGTTGTGGGGACTGCCCTTTGCACCATAGGATGTTTAGCAGCATCCCTGGCCTTTACTTTCTAGATGTCAGTAGCACTGCCCACTCCACTTATGACAACCAGAAACATCTTCAGATATTGCTAATATCTTCTGGGGGTTACCCCAGTTGTGAACCACTGCCTTAAATCAATTTCTTGCAAAGAGTGTGCATGGTAGTCCTAGGTGATGCTCCCCATAAGATCCTAGGGTTAACTAAGTTGGAAAATATTAAATTTTACTAGTACCACATTAAATATTACTACTACTACTAGCTAATTTTTGATAAACTTTCTACATGCCACAAACGTATCTCATTTAATACTCATAATAGATCTAAAAGGTATTTAGTTATTTCAAGATACATTTTTTCAAATGAGGAGCCCCAGAGAAATCAAATAGCTGACCAAGATCATACATTTAATAAGTGACACAACCAAGGCTTCTTTTTCCCCCCAAGCTTCCTCCAGATCCTGTACAATTATCCTCTACACATTACTACCTCTTGCATACTCTACTTCTTAATTCCCAATTCAAATTGGGATGTAATAATCTTTTGATGTATGCTATGTATTCTTAGGAGCTCTGGTAGCATAGTGCCTAAGGCATTTGACTGCTAACAAGAAGGCTGGCGGTTCAAACCCACCAGCCACTCTTCATAAGGAAGGTTGGGCAATCTACTTCCATGGTGATACCACCTCAGAAACCCAAGGAGGGGTTTCTATGAGTCAGGTCCAACTCCACAGCAGTTTGTTTGTTTGTTTATTTATTTATTTATTTATGTATTCTTAATTTGTGGTATTTATTAGGTGTTTACATTTTCCCAAGGAGCTCTGGTAGCTCAGTGCCTAAGACATTTGACTGCTAACTAGAAGGTTGGTGGTTCAAACCCACCAGCTGCTCCATGGAAGGAATATGGAGCAATCTACTTCCATAAAGATTTACCACCTTGGAAACCCAGTGGGAGTCACTATGAGTCAGAACCGACATAATGATAGTGTTTTGTTTTTTATTTTACTTTTTCCTGAGCATGTAAAAAAATTAACTTTTGTTTTTATCACTTGATGACAACCTCCCAATTATTTGTAAAGTGATTGCTCTCATAAACTTCCTTGGGTGCATCCAAAGAAGTCACTTTCCCTGGAAATGATAACCAAACTATTCCCAAACTAAGGCAGATGGCTAGGAAGCTAAGAAAGGAGAGATATTCTCTGCTTGAAGGAGGTAGGTAATATTTTACAACGAAGATGATACTTGAATTGGGCCTTTAATCATCATAAACTTGGATAAATAGGAGTTTATCAAGTGGGAAGGCATTCCAAGTAGAGTAAACATGTGTAAAAGTCTGGTCAACTGGAAGGGTATGATATATTTGGGGAATGTTGGGTAAGGAGAAAAGATGTAGAAAAATCAGACGAGAGGAGGTGATGTTCTATATTAATGTCACTGGCTCGACTCCTGTAGGCATATGACTTTGCTGTCCTTGTTGTAAGGGCTGCAGACAGTCAAGAGCACAGTAGTGATGTGGCCAGGTAGGTTCTTGATGATGATAACTAGCTTGCATAGTATCTGCTGGTGGGCAGACCTAATTAAGAGACACTAACTTAGGAGCTCTGGTAGCATAGTGCCTAAGGCACTTGACTGCTAACCAGAAGGCTGGCGGTTCAAACCCACCAACCACTCCTCGGAAGGAAGGTTGGGCAATCCTACTTCCGTAGTGATAACTGCCTCGGAAACCCAAGGAGGGGTCGCTATGAGTCGGGGCTGACTCGACTGCAAACAACAACAACAACAACAACAATGCAGTACTTAGGAGCTCTGCACTTGACTGCTAACCAGAAGGCTGGCGGTTCAAACCCACCAGCCACTCCTTGGAAGGAAGGTTGGGCAATCCTACTTCCGTAGTGATAACTGCCTCGGAAACCCAAGGAGGGGTCGCTATGAGTCGGGGCTGACTCGACTGCAAACAACAACAACAACAACAATGCAGTACTTAGGAGCTCTGCACTTGACTGCTAACCAGAAGGCTGGATGTTCAAACCCACCAGCCACTTCTTGGAAGGAAGGTTGGGCAATCTACTTCCGTAGTGATACTGCCTCGGAAACCCAAGGTGGGGTCGCCATGAATCGGGTCCAACTAGACGGCACATAGCAACAACAATGCAGTACTTAGGAGCTCTGCTGGTGTAGTGCCTAAGGCATTGACTGCTAACCTGAAGGCTGGTAGTTCAAACCCACCAGCCACTCCTCAGAAGGAAGACTGGGCAATCTACTTCCATAGTGATACTGCCTAGGAAACCCAAGGAGGGGTCGCTATGATTTGGACCCAACTCGATGGCAGTGAGATTGTTTTAGTTTAATGGAGTACTTGAGCAAGAGATAATGATCTAGGATAGATAAAAGAGGTCATATTTGAGAGGAATTATTAAGAGTAGCAAGTCAGGAAAAATCTGACTGTTAGAACAGATATCATTTCTGTGGAAGTGATATCTGTGGAAGGGCTATCTCTACACAAGACAATGATGAATTTCAAGAGAACAATATGGAAATATGTTTAGCAGCTCTTCTGATAACCTGGAGAATTTTCAGCAACAGATTCCAAACTCGACAAATGTTCTTCTGGAAATCTAGTCTCTTCCCCATCCAAATTTCCTGGAGCAATTAAATAACCCATTTGTTGGTGAAGGTTCAAAGCTAAAAGGTAGAGTTGAAAGTGTCCCTACCTTTTCATGCCAGATCATATTGTCTGTTTCCTTCTAATCATGCCTCCTGGAAAAGATGAGTCATCTTTAGTGGAGATTCAACCAAATATATCTGAGACATTATGAGTCAGTCTAAAAATGTTGGGAGATCGAATTCATTTTTAATAGACATGTAAGATAAGATTAATAGAAAGGAGAAAAAAAATCTTCTATTGCAGTTTTCCTAGTTCTCTTTTTTTACTGAAATAGCTAATCAGCCACTCCCAAAAAGTACTACAGCATATCAAATAGACTTTTACCTCTATTGTGCAATAAGATTGTCTTTTTACAGCTTTATTATTTAAATTTTCAAAATGAGCAAGTCCTTCAACATACATAATCCTGATGTTTTTTCCAAATATCTTTTTCAAACTGTCCTTTGAGAGTCATTCTCTATACATCAGTTAATTTAAAAATTAAACAATTTATTTCACCACTGATATAAAGATATATAAGCCATAATCTCACCCTTGGCAGTTTAGATGGAAAATATTTTTTCTACTGTGTTTCAGCAATTTCTATAATTTTGTCTAAAAAAATGATTAATAATAATAATTACTATTTAAAAAGTGCCTTTTAGGTATAAGTAGCTCTGGTGGTGCAGTGTCTAAGCCATTTGACTGCTAACCAGAAGGCGGGCAGTTCAAACCCACCAGCCACTCTTCAAAAGGAAGACTGGGCAGTCTACTTCTTACCACCTTGGAAGCCCAATGGGGGTTGCTATAGGTCAGAATTGACTCCATGACAGTCAGATTGGTTTTGGTTTGGTATTAGGTATCAGATGCTTTGAAAGTATTATCCCTGTAAAGACAACAACCCCAGTAACCCAATTTTTCTTTACTTATTTTTTAGATGGGCAACAAAAGGGTGAGAGTAGTGATATACTTTAACCAAGATCCCAGAGCTTCCAAATTATTAGTGAGGTTCAAACTTAAGTCCATTAGTAAACAAACCTGTGTGCATTCTACATCATTCTCAGTCCTGATTTTACCCCTGTCTTTTCTATTTCATCTAAATGTTAACATGAACACACAGCTGATGTTTTGCTCTGTATTACTAGTCCTAAGAGTCTCGCTACATTGGTCTTTGCCCATGAATACTACTGTATCTCTATCTTTAAAGCTCCCATTGATAATTGTACCCATTCAAAATTCACTCACTCACTCACTGCCATTGAGTCTTTTCCAACTCATACTGACCCTTCCTTGGACTTCCAAGGCGGTATCTATACAGAAGTAGATTGCCCAGTCTTCCTTCCGAGGAGTGGCTGGTGGGTTTGAACTGCCAGCCTTCTGGCTAACAGTCAGATGCCTTAGGCACTACACCACCAGGGCACTCCAAATTAGATTCACAAAATAGATTACATTACAAATGTTCAAAATTATAAAGTGTATCATTAACAGTAATGTGCCTTACAACATGATGGAGTTTTGGCCACAGAAAAGAGTATTGTTGTTGATAGCCTTGTTGTTGTTAGTTGCCATCAAGTGGATTGTAACTCATAGCAATGCCATGTATGCAGATTAGAAATGCTCCATAGGACTTTAAAGGCTGTGACCTTTTGGAATCAGTTTACCAGGCCTATCTTCTGAGGGGCCTCTGGGTGAGTTCAAACCACCAACATTTCAGTTAGCAGTCTAGCACTTAAGAGTTTGTGCCACTCATGGAACTTAGAAAACTATTTTATTTAAAGTGTTGTCAAGATTTAGGAATTAAGTATATTCATATTTCTTATGAAATGTTCATGCTTGAGAGATGGAGCCATATATGAAGGAAAAATTTTTATTGACAGAGTAAAGGGCAGAGTTTTTATATTTGATAAACAGATAGCCAAATGAAAAACTTCTGAGTAAAGGTACCCTCCCAGCTCCATCCCCCCAATCTAGGAGGATTGTTGGTTAAAATCATCAGGATAAAAATTTATTGCAATAAAAGGAATCACATTCTTCATGTTCTTATAAATTCTTTTTGTTTTATGTGAACATTTTAGGTGTATCAATACATGCATGAAACAATAACTGTTAATGGCTGTCCTGAATTCCGTGCCAGGGCCACAGCAAAGGTAAGGCTTGAGTAACTTTAAAAATATAGTTGATCCCAGTGATCTAGTAATTGACTGTGCGTGTGTGTGTTTCAGGTATTCTCGTGTGTACACTGTAAGAGAATTTAGACATCAGTGGCAGCCCAGAGTCTAGACCAGTACTACTTCCAGGTAAAAATCCTAATGGAAAATTGAACGTTTCTGCTGCTTCTGTAGCTTAAGAAAAGAGAATGATCTCATTAAGCTCACTAAATATCCATTTGGCACAAGCAAATCTACTGGTTCATTGTATGAAATACTACATGGTTTTCTGACACATTGTTTGATACAAAAGAACCTGTTCCCTATTCAATGCATGAGGATTTCTTTGCATAGGTCTAAAGACTTGGTTTAAGTTAGACATGAAAAGAATTTACCTGACACCCACTCATCTAGAATTTTTCTATGTACTCAGCTGAGCAGTGGGTACCTTGCTGAAAGAATGTGGCATTAACCTCAAAGGAAAGTCCATCTTCTTTTGTGATAGTGACCATGTTTTCTCTTTAAAAACTCAAATCCAGAGATTGTAAAGACCCTATTAACTGAAATATTGTAGCAATTGGATCATGAAATCATCTGGAAAATAGACCATTAGAAAACAATAACTTTAAACTAAAATCACTGATGCCATTCTTATTTTACAAATACAGAAATACTATAGCAGATATACAACCTTCTTTTTAAAATCTTTTATCTTTATAATAAACTATAAGGAATAAAAGCTGGTGAAAATAATCATAACTTTCCTTTTAGTTCTTTTAGGTGTTATACCATTTCTTATTTGGTTTCTCTCCTGATTTTTAATTTTTAGTCTGTATTCAAACTGTAACTGAACACTGTAGATTTGTAAGTTGTTTTTTATTTTATTTTATTTTCAACCCAGACCATTAAAAAAAAAAGAGTATTATTGTCATTCCATCATGCTTTGCTTGTACTGAAGTGGAACACACACAGAAAAATGATCCCTATATGGTTTAATTAAGGGGGAAGTGAATTATGTAGTGTTTTACCATTCTCATTTCTTATTCATGTAGAACAGCAGGATAGCAGCATAATGTTGCAGTAGCACAATATTTTCTGGTTGTTTCTGGGCTGTCTGCATTGCATCCATGTCAGCCATTAAAATCTATGCATGATGACAAGGTTTGCATGAGCAAATGCATGTAGCTAAAAATGAGCCATTATTTCCATGTCATTCACTATCTTTCATTAAATGCAGACAGTAGCATAATGCTAAATTGATGTGATAATGCTGTGTGTGGAAAAGAATGTATAGTAGTTGAGAATCAATATTTTCACAGTGTTGAGTAAATAACTTTATAGTAGGCATCTAATCAACTGAGGTTTAGGAAGCTTAATGGAAGTGGAAAATAAGAAGGTAGAGAATTCTACTTGATAGAAACAACTCAAATGCTGCTATTTTATTTCTGTGGGGGGTAGGGGTCAAAGCAGGAATTAATGGTAAGTTGTTTTCTTGAAGTTATTTAAAGAAATTAACATATTAATTTAAAATAAAACTACAAGTCCATTTTGAATGGAGTTTTGTATATTGAAGTATAAAACCATAGCCTGTCAAATTTTTTAATTATTTAATAGCAAACATTGTTCATTTTATATAAATCACCATAGGAAGCTGAGACATTAAAATGTAGGAACAAACCTGTGCCAGATAAGAGGACCTCACATAATAATATGGAATGGTGATTTCAAGTAATAATAACTAGTTTGAATTTATTATCTTATTTTTTTTAAGCATCCTAATTATTGAAAAAAAAAAAAACCTAAATGTGCTATCCTGGTGTTCTGAAAATAGCAAGATATATATATATATATATATATATATATACATACACACACACACACACATGTTGTTGTTGTTATGTGCCATCGAGTTTACCCCGACTCATAGCGACCCCTCCTTGGGTTTCCCAGGCAGTATCACTACGGAAGTAGATTGCCCAACCTTCCTTCCAAGAAGTCGCTGGTGGGTTTGAACATCCAGCCTTCTGGTTAGCAGTCAAGTGCCTTATGCACTATGCTACCAGAGCTCCCACATATATACATTTAAATGCTCTTCTGTTGATTCAACACATATTTATGAACATTATGGTCAAGCACTGAGTTAGACTGTGTGTCATACAAAGAAGTATAGGACACAATCCCAGTCCTGAAGCCTCTCATAGGCAAGACATGTACAAAATAACTATACTACTAGGTAGTATATGCACCAAGGGCTATTTGGTCATTGGGAAAGTCTTTTAAGAAGAGAAAAGTTTATTATAATGGTTAAGCTCTGTAAATGTGAAAATGTCCGGTGGGGCGGGGGCTTACAAAAGTAAGGGATCATACAAAGCATCTAAATGAAGAAAGGCCCTTCCCCTTCTTTTTTCTTTCACAGGACAAAGCTATAATAATATGAGGAGCTGTCTGATCAACTACCACAAAGTGTATGATTGGCCTTATTTCTCTCATTTTGTTACCCAGTGACCATCTTTTCTTTCAGGCAACAGTTGCAGCTTTTGCAGCCAGCGAAGGCCACTCTCACCCTCGGGTCGTTGAACTGCCAAAGACTGATGAAGGCCTTGGTTTTAATGTGATGGGAGGAAAGGAGCAAAATTCCCCCATTTATATCTCTCGGATCATTCCTGGAGGGGTGGCGGAAAGACATGGAGGCCTCAAAAGAGGAGACCAGCTACTCTCAGTAAATGGAGTGGTATGTGCAGAGAATAACCAGAGATTTTCTTTAGGATTTTCTTTTCTTTCTGATGATGCTGTAGTCAATATTGAAATTCTGAAACAAATCCTAATTTTGTGTCCAAACAGCTTCAAAATCATTGATAGACATAAAACCTATTAAAAAAAAAAAAACACTAACTTTATAGTTTGTTTGTTCATCTCATCTTGCACAGGTACGATAAGTCTGGACTAAATCATCCTGAGAAATTATCCCAACTAATGTAATCTCCCATGTAAGACTGTAATTGAATTGATGCTTCTAAAACTTAATGCTTTTAAGGCATGCTTCATCTAAAGTTATTATAAGAAAATACACACACTTTTTCAAAAAAGATAAAACTCCTCACTCTATAAAGTGTGTGGTTTTCTTTTTGATTTTAGTTAAAGAGAGAGAATAACTTTAATATGTATATAATAATACAACATATGTAAGGACTAGCGTACGGATAATTCTTAAGCCTTGTCATTGAGTCCATTCTGACTCATAGAGACACTGTAGGACACAGTAGAACTGAGCCATAGGGTTTCCGAGATTATAAATCTTTATGGAAGAAGACTGGCTCATTTTTCTCCTGCAGAGCTGCTGATGTGTTTGACCTGCTGGATAGCAGGTGAGTGCTTTGACCACTGCTCCACCAGAGCTCCGTCTACAGCTGTAGTATAATAAAATGTATTATTCTCCTACCCTTAAAAAAGTTTGATGGCATTATTATTCATCAAATGTATTTTAGTTTTCAAATGAAATTGAGGTAATCTCAACTATATAAATATGTATAAGTAAAAATATGAAATAATCATTTTGCATAAGTTCTTTAGATGCCAGTCCCTCCACATGATGGATTATGAAAGAAAGAAGATTCATGTAAGATGAGAATTTCCTCCTCAAACATAAATAACTTAAAAGCACAATTGCAGAAAAATCAATAGGAACGTATCAATACTTACCTGCCTATTGATCTGTGAGCGTAAGATTTTAATAATAGAATTATATTTATATTATTTGTGGCCATTCTGATCTCCATCAGAAGTGACCATTCCCTGAGGAGGGATATTGTGCTTGGTAAAATGGAGTTTCAGCAAAAAAGGGGATGACCCTCAATGAGATGGATTGACACAGTGGCTGCAGCGAAGGGCTGAGGTATAGCAAGGATTGTGAGGATGGCACATGACAGGCAGTGTTTTATTCTGTTGTACATAGGGTGTCACTATGAGTCAGAGCTAACTTGGCAGTACCTAACAACAACATATTGATATCAGCTCAAAACACTGTATCTAAAGAAAAAGGCAGTTAGAATATAATATCTTACTGGTAGCAATGGATTTAAATTTTTCTTTATCTGTGCCTTGCATTTTGTTTTTTATTTTTAGCCTGACTAGTGTCTTGAAAGATGAGAGGGCACTGGTGGTTCGCTGGTAGAATTCTCACCTTCTATGAGCAAGACCTGGGTTGATTCCCAGCCAATGCATTTCATACACAGCCGACACATCTGTCAGTGGAGGTTAGAGAGTTCTTCTGATGCTGAATGGGTTTCAGGGGAACATCCAGACTAAGATGGGCTAGGAAGAAAGACTTGGCAATCTGCTTCCAAAACTCAGCCAGTGAACACTGTATGGATCACAATGGTCCTGACCACAAGGGGACCTTGCTGATGGCCCAAGACCAAGCAGCCTTTTGTTCCTTTGGGTGTGGGTTTGCAGTAAGTCAGGAGCCAACTGGACAGCAGCTAACAATGACAACAGTGCTTTGGTAGCATCCAGAACTATTCATTCAACTCTGCCCACTTCTCTGATGAATATCAAAATCAGCAATCCATAAATACTTCATTTTATTTCAGCATGCCAGTTCAAGAATTGCTTGTTTCATTTGCTTTTTTTTTTTTAATGTAATAATGTTAAGAGGAGCTTTTTGTTGCCCTTTGCATAACTGACTTTTTCAAAGCTTGTTTCCACAGATCATTCCAGAGTCAAATTTTGTCATAGGAGGCTCTAAAATTAGGTTGTGTAATTATGTCATGTAATAGTCTATGCTTCAGTGTAAGAATTTGTATTTTCTCTCACTATGTGGGTAGATAAAAGGAAAATGTGGATTTAAAAGCAATATAAAATGTACAAAAACAGAATAACAAAAATAAAATATAACAATTGCATAAGAAGGTAATAAGTATATGTGAAGAAAATTTCATACACGATTGATGTTTAACTATCTGTTATAAAGCTAAGGGACTTAAAGTTGTTGTTTAACCTAGAAGACACATATACAGAGAAAAAGCTGTAGACATTTTACAATCACTCACCTGTCCCTTGCAATTAACTTTCAAGGTATCTAGTAAGCAACAAGGGGTTTAAGAGTCGGACCAGCCGGGGTCTACAATTCAATATCCATATCATTATGGGTTAATATCCTCTAAACATCAATATTCTACTCTGTAAAAATGAAATAATAATTTATTGGCATATGTTCTTGAGGCAAATGATACAACATGCCAGAGTCAGGATTTTGTTGCATCAGGCAACTAGAAACATTCTTACCTGATAGGTAGAAATAAAAACATTAAGTGAGCCAGACTTTGCCCCAGTTTTACAGTATACGTGATGGCTACTCTAAAATGTTTCTACCTGTTCATGCAAAGGTAGGGAATTTCTCAAAAATTTTGAATATTTCACATATATTTAAAACTTTTAAATTTATCATTTGAGTTCCATTATAACATTTATTGTGCTAATTAATGGGCCACAAATTTTTCCAATGAAAATCTATTTCTGCATATTTTTGCTAATAAACAAAGCGTCATTTGTAGATTGAAATAGGTATAACAAATGCTTTTATAGCATCCCACTGTAGAGTTTGGCCTTTCAGTTATAATGCCATCTTTAGAGGGTTGGCTCCCTACCAAATCCCTGTAGTGCTTTAAAATCCTACAGTTGAAGCTTAAAATACTGGCATATCCATATAATCAAACTTTATAGTATAAAGTTTATATTGTTTAAATATTCAAAAACAAATTATAGGCATTATAGCAATGCCTAATATTTATCAGCTACTTACCAAAAGGTAGTTTTCCTTCTGTAAATACGGGGACTTTATGAGGCCACAGAGGGTACCTAATTTGAGTCTAGGTTAAAACCCTGGACTTCTAACACTGAGTCCATAGGTTTATACAGTGTAAATAATTCCAAGCAAATAGCAATATTTAAGGAAAAAATAATAATAACTCTGTAATGGAAGGACCAAAAAAAAAGTTAGCAAAAGATCAAATGGTTTCTATTTGTACATTGAAATAACCTTATCATTGGGGAAATCAGTATGGAAGATTTTCAGGACATGACATTATAAACTGAGAACAAATTTTGGAACACAGTGATTTGGAGGGCTGAAGGAAACCTTAAATACATCAGTGAAAGTACTCTAGGGAAAATTTCCAACTGTAATACTTGAAAGGTAAAGAAATGATTCCGTGGATCTTCAAGTATCTAAAGTCTTGACTATGTTTGTTGTTGTTCCTTTTATTAATCATTCTGATTTCTAGAAAAGATGTGTCATGATGTCTTACAAAATTAAATACATTAATATTGAGCTATTAATATGAGATATCAGGTGGAAAAGTGGGATAGCAAGGGGGGGGGAATCAATAGGGGAAAAAAAAAAGAACAAAATACAGCATTTGAGCAAGTAATTTTTCCCTTAGCTTCTTAGAAGTCAAAACAGAAGGAAACTCATATCAGCTCAATATTCATTAGAAGAGAAATATTTTTCTACCTCTGAAGTCCAAGAGAAATTTCTCATGAGATTTTTACAAATGAGACATTGAGTTACCTAATACAATTTTATAGGAAATAGAGAAGCCTTTGCGTATGACTATTTCTTAAGCCAACCTACAGTGCAAATTTAGAGCTCAATGTTCAATTAAAATTTAACTGTAATGGGAGACCAGAACATTACAGTCACAAATTCAGCTTTGTAATGAACTATTTTTCACCCTTTTTTTGCACAATTTTTTTCATCAGCAATTTTGAGAAAGAACTAAAGAACTATTTATAAATGTCACAGCCCAGCAGGGATAGTAAATATGTTTAGTGATAGAGTTAGAATATAAAGTTCTCAATGGAATCGTATAATAGTCCTAATTCACTAAAAAATTATGTAAAAATGACCTACATATGTTCAGAATCAGGGAGGAATTGTTAATTATCAAAACCTGGGAAAAAATGCCTATACTATTTCAGTTGAGAGCTCTGGTAGCATAGTGGCTAAGGCACTTGACTGCTAACCAGAAGGCTGGCGGTTCAAACCCACCAGCCACTCCTCGGAAGGAAGGTTGGGCAATCTACTTCCGTAGTGATACTGCCTCGGAAACCCAAGGAGGGGTCGCTATGAGTCGGGGCTGACTCGACGGCACATAACAACAACAACGTTTCAGTTAATTTCAAGAGGAATATAAATTTGGTTGGAAAACAAATAAAATAAGTTAATGTGATGATTGTGTTGTTTTTGTTGGTAGCCACCTCAGTGTCCACCTGCAACTCATGTCAACTTCATGGGACAGAGTAGAACTGCCTCGTAGGGTTTTCTTGGCTGTTAATATTTACAGAAGCAAATAGCCATACCTTTCTTCCATGGAGCCACTGGGGGGATTTGAACTGCCAACCTTTTTGATTAGCAGTCTATCACTAGTCTCTTGTGTCACTCAGGCTCCTTAAATGTGACTGTAGAGCAATTAGTTTAAATATTTTGTACAGAACTTGGAAGGAGATTGGTCTAGACTTTGAATGTACTATTCAGCTGTTATGCTATTCTGCTCTTTTCTTGGTTGTAGTCATGAGAAGAACAGTAAGCTTATCTAGAGAAGAGCAGTCTTATATATGAGGACCATGTTAAAGAAGGACTTGAATTTTTCGGAATAGAGAAGAGAACATTTAGGGGAATAATAGGTGAGTTCAGTTGTCATCCATTGTGCAAGACAACAGTTAGCAGAACCA